TGTGGTTTACTGCTCATGCATTGCAGTAAATGAGGCTCATTAAATAGTAATAGGCCACTTTCCTGCAGAACAAAACCCATACAAGTACATGCGTATAAAATACTGTAATTGGCTTTTTTTACATGAAGAATTCCAGGCAATATCCTTCATTAAAAGTTTTGTTGTTTAGACCGCAAAGACCAGACATGAATGAAATACTCCAAGCTGATGCCTCCTATATTTCCCTTGACAATTTAATTAGGCAGAAACATTTTTTGAATGGTAGTTTGTTATCTGTAACCGCAGCTCAAAACCTTTTGAATTTTAGATTACAAACCTGCAGGAAAATTGCCTTCCTATGAGGGATGAACAGGGAGGTGTATTGTAACTTTTTAGTTCTCATGATTGTTTTCCTGAATGGAAATCTTTAATATTTATGAGTTGACCTTTTTATATTTCAAAAACATATGTATACAAAGTATAACTTTAAGTTTAGTAGGCTTTAGGGTCGACTGATCTTGATTTTGAACTGCGAGATCTCTTCCAAATTGTGTCTCAAGTATCAAATAAATACTTTCCTTGTAATTGCAATGAAAATATTTTGTGCACCTTGGTTAAGCTTCAGAAGATTGTTCAATAATGTCCAGCAGTGTAGTCTATGTTCTTTTGCCAATGATGCTTTATTTGTGATGAATATTATGGATGCTGTATCATTATCAATGCTGCAAAATCTCAAACCTTCTTGTGATTCAACACAGCTGTAAAGGGAGCTGCTAGGGTATCCTTTGGATCTTTGTATCAAATGCAGGTTTTATCGTTTGAGTTGGAAATGAAAAAGTTGGGCAAGGTTGAAGACTGAGTCCAAATAAAAAAAAAAATCAAAATTGGACAACAGATTCAAAATTTTAGTTTTGTAATGTTGGCGAGGCCCCTTCTGGAGTACTGTGTGCAGTTCTGGACACCCTATCATAGGAAGGATATTATTAAATTGGAGAGGGTTCAGAAAAGATTTAACAGGATGTTGCCGGGAATGGAGGGTTTGAGTTAGAGTCATAGAGTCTTATCACAGAATCCCTACAGTGTGAAAACAGGCCCTTCAGCCCAACAAGTCCACACCGACCCTTAGAACATCCCACCCAGACCCATCCTCCTATAACCCACCTAATCTACACATCCCTGGACACTATGGGCAATTCAGCATGGCCAATTCACCTAACTTGCACATCTTTGGACTGAGTCCTACAGCACAGAGACAGGCCCTTCAGCCCAAACTGGTCCATGCTGACTGAAATGTCCATCCACACTAACCCCATTTGCCTGCATTTGGCCCATATCCTTCTAAACCTTTCCAATCCATGTATTCGCCCAAATGCCTTTTAAATGTTTTTAATGTACCCGCCTCAACCACTTCTGCTGGCAGCTCATTCCATATGCGTACCACCCACTGTGTAAAAAAGTTGCCCCTCAGGTTCCCATTTATTCTTTCCGCTCTTACCCTAAACTGATGCCCTCTACCCTGGGGAAAAGGACTGAGTGCATTCACCCTATCCATCCCCCTCATGCTCTTATAAAAGGGTAAAAAACCCCCCCCCCCCCCCCCCAGTTTCCTAAGCTTTAAAGAAAAATGTCCTACATTGTCCAACCTCTCCCGATAACTTATGCCCTTGAGTCCTGGCAACATCCTTGTAAATTTCTTCTGCACTCTTTCCAGTTTAATAACATCCTTCCTAAAGCAAGGTGACCAAAACTGAACACCATACTCTGTGTGGCCTGACTAATGTCCTTTACAACTGCAACATAACTTGCCAACTTATGTACTCGGTGCCCTGACTGATGAAGGCCAGTATGCCAGAAGCTGCCTTCGCTGCCCTTATGGCCCTACCATTCACCATGAAGCTCCTACTTTGATTTGACTTTCCAAGAAGGGGAGGCAATGGCTGAGTGGTATTATCGCTGTTAATCCAGACACCGAGACAACATTCTGGGTTCAAATCCCGCCACGGCAAATGGTAGAATTTGAATTCAATAAAATATATCTGAAATTAAGAATCTCATGATCACCAAGAATCCATTGCTGATTGTCGGGAAAACCCATCTGGTTCACTAATGTCCTTTAGGGAGGGAAACTGCCATCCTTACCTGGTCTGGCCTACATGTGGCTCCAGACCCACAGCAACGTGGTTGACTCTCATCTGCCTTCTGGGAAGTTAGGGATGGGTAATAAATGCTGCCTAAAAGCGACACCCTCATCCCGTGAATGAATAAAGAACAAAAATTGCAACAGCTCACATTTATCTATATTAAACTCCAGTTGCCATTTCTCGACCCACTTCCCCAGCTGATCAAGATCCTGCTGCAATTTCTGATAATCTTCCTCACGGTCCACGATACCGCCCGTTTTAGTATCATCTGCAACTTACTAATCATGCCCTGCACATTTCTCATTCAAATCATTGATAACAAACAGCAATGGGCCCAGCACCGACCCCTGAGGCACACCACTAGTCACAGGCCTCCAGTCTGACCAGCATCCTTCCACTATTACCCTCTGCTTTCTACCATCAAGCCGATGAGTTATGAAAGTAGACTGGAAAGGTTGGGACATTTTTCACTGGAGCACACGAGGTTGAGCGGTGACTTTATAGAGGTTTATAAAATTATATGAGGCATAAACATAGTGGACAGCCAAGGTCTTTTCCCTAGGGTGGGGGACTTCAAAACTAGGGGGCATATTCCTAAGATGAGAGGAGGAGAAAGTTTTTAAAAAGGACATGAGAGACAACTTTTCTACGCGGAGAGTGGTTTGTGTGTGGAATGAACTGCCAGAGGAAGTGGCGGATGCAGGTACAGTTAGAACGTTTAAAAGACATTTGGATAAATTCATAAATATGAAAAGTTTTGGAGGGATGTGGGGCAAATGCAGGCAGGTGGAACTAGTTTAGTTTAGGACAATGGTCGTGTGGACTGGTTGGACCAAAGAGTCTATTTCCATACTGTACGACTCCATAACTCTTTGTATATCACTTTGTTGGGCTTATTTGCGCTTTCAGTGAACAAATCTGCTTTGTTCTTTTCCCATGTTCATGAAATACTAATTCCCTTCACAACTTCTGAATATCAGCTTCGGTTTTATCCTTCCCCAATTTTTTTTCCCCTGACCTTTACCCCAATTTTCACATCAAAATCGTAGAGTTGATATGATGTATCATGGTTTAGTGAAGTACCCAGTGTAATTTAGGCAAAGGATGACTTGATCTGTGTTATTCTGGAGAAGGGGAATGTGCTACACATTAATCAAAGTTCAGTTTTATACGTAAGAAAGTAAAAGAGTTGTTTTCTTCATTAACTTCAAAGTTATATTCCGATCTTTCAGTTGATTGGAATCTACGACACATTGTAGAAACATTGTGCCAAACTGCTTGACAGATAAAATCTCTTGTATTAACACAATTCAGGACATTTTTGTCTTTTATTCCATACAGGTGTGACATTGCATCGAATTCAAGGCTATTCAACTGTAGCTCAGCAGTCTTTTTTTTCTTTATTCATTTACGGGATGAGGTGTTGCTGTGTAGGCAGCATTTATTGCCCATCCCTAATTGCCCAGAGGGCAGTTAAGAGTCAACCACATTGCTGTGGGTCTACAGTCACATGTAGGCCAAACCGGGTTAAGATGGCAGTTTCCTTCTCTAAGGGACATTAGTGAACCAGGTTGGGTTTTTCAGACAGTCGACAACAGATTCATGATCATCATTAGTCTCTTAATTCCAGAGTTTTTTTTCATATTGAGTTGAAATTCCACTATCGATAGCATTGGTAATTGATCTTCAAAACTAAGGCAACTCAGAAATGCTTGTGTCTGTAATTCTTAATGTTATTTGATTGTCATTAGTCTAGGAGTTTGAAAAAAATTGTTGCTAGCACTAATACAACAGCAAAATACTGCAGATGTTGAAAATGAGAACAAGAAATGTTGGAATATTTTGATGTCAGGCAGTACCAATGCACAGTAAAAGAATTAATATTTCAGGTCAATGGCCTGAATGTTGTATTGATGCTGCCTTACTTTCAGCAGGTTTTGTTTTTATTTCTATTCTTAGAATGGTTGGTTCATTTTGTATTCAGACCAAGGTCTGTTGCTATCACTTAATGTATACGAAAAGTAATAAAAGCATAGATTAAAACTTAAAATGTGGTCCCATCATGCGTGTGAATCACAGAAACAAAATCCCTCAATGAATGTTTGCTTTTACAAGAGATTGTGCATGTGGTAGTGTTGGGTAAGCTCCATTTTAATCATGAAAGTTCACAAATATTGACAGACCATCTTAAAATACTGAATACAGCTATAAAACTATCCATCATCGTGACTCTGGAATTTTCATTCTTTATAAAACATCAAGGTGAGTACACATATTGAAACAAAAATATAGTTTTATTTAAAAGACACAGCCAAATAACTTCGCATGCTGGAAATCAGAAAAAAAACAGAGATTACAAAGATAGTAGGAACTGCAGATGCTGGAGAATCTGAGATAACAAGGTTGTAGAGCTGGAGGAACACAGCAGGCCAGGCAGCATCAGAGGAGCAGGAAAGCTGACATTTTGGGTCTGGACCCTTCTTCAGAATGAATATTTTTCTGAAGAAGGGTCCAGACCCGAAACATCAGCTTTCCTGCTCCTCTGATGCTGCCTGGCCTGCCGTGTTTATCCAGCTCTACGCCTCGTTATCACAGAAATCACAGCGTTTGTGGAGAGAAAGTAGAATTAAAATTTCAGGTCCAGTGACCCTTCTTCAGAATGAATATTTTAATACTGCACTAGTCATGTATCAACTTTATTGATGATAATTTTTTCTGTTGTAATGATAAATGAGCCAGAATATTATTCTCACTTCTTGCAGTTTAGAGGCTACTTCATCAGTTATAAGGCCATTTCTGATTGTTCCCAATTTCCTCTGAAAAATAGAATATAAAAATACAATAACAGGATTGAAGTTTGGCTCTTTCTGATATTAACAGCACTGAAGATCCTGTCTTTGTCATCCGTGCCCAATCTGCTCAAAGCAGCTCTGATACTAGTGACGCCACTACTTCAGATAGCATCTTCTATGAACTATACATCAAGTGCAGAGATTGAACCAGTCACCCAGCAACTGGCTGAGAAACTCCTTGATATTATACAGAATAATGAACAAAAAGACATGGCTAGTAAACAGAAGGTAAGGGAGAGAAGATGGTTTCTTTGATTTATGAAATAGTGTAACAAGTAATGGTGTTGTGAGTAAAATCAATATCTTAATAAAACTCATCTAATATTTAATTGATGTTTTTGTTCTGCAAACCACACTAACTTGCATCTTGTCCCAAGGCTTTCCACAGAAGTTTTCTCAAAGAAAGCTTGATGACAAGCCACATAGAGAAATATTAAGACAAATAACCAAAACATTTTTGAAAAGATGGCTTTAAGACCCACTGATTTTTTTTTGGATTTGATTTATTGTTGTCACATGTACCTAGATACAGTGAAAAGTTTTGTTTTGCGTGCAGTAAAGATTATAGGGTGATAGAACAGAGTGAGGAATACAAAGTCATGGCTTCAAAGAAAGTACACAAAACACAAGGTCAGCATTGGATTTGAGGTGAACCTAAAGACTGAGTTTTAGGGAGGGAGTTTCAGAGCTCAGGCTTTCGTGCTGATGATTTGACAGTGTTTTGTACGACTTAAAATTATAAATTTTGTTGAAAAGTCCTGAATCAATAGACTGAGAATAATTAAATCGGCTGTGGTTACAATTTTTTAATTTAAATGTCTATGCAATGCTTAATGTAATTTTGTACTTTTGCATATTTTGCCAGGTTCAATACAGCTTCATAATCAATTGCTTAATATACTGTCACCGTTATAAAAGATTTCTACACAATAAAGTCTGACAGAGAAATACAATGAATGAGCAGGAAGTTGAGAGATGAATGTTTGGCAGGACACTCTGGGGACTACTCTGGTCCTCCTTTGATTAAAAGTCACCAATTTCCTCTGAAAATAACACTTTATACCTATTCGTACTTATTACTTATCCTTAGCACTTACCTGTGGAGCCTCAATCATGTATTTGAGTCCTGGACGGGAGGAAATTCTACAATTTGGAAAAAGAGGAGTTGCTTTAAAATTTTGTTAGCTTTTAAACCATTTCATTGTATGCTAGCCTCAGGTGACTTTTAACCATTTAGTTAGATTGTTCTCTCCTGGACATTTAATATGGAGTTCTCCATGGGGGAGATAATGTCAATGAAAATTCAGAATAGCTCTTATAAGATATTGGTGTTTTTGTCAATTTATTTTAAATCTGAGCTAATTTTGGACGAAATTGGAAAAAGCCATTATCTCTTCCTTGGTTCCCACTTACTGTCTATTTTGTTAAAACCTTGCTACTAAGTACTGAAATTATAGACTTTGGGTTGTCCTTTTAAATTCTACTGTTACATGTATAGCTTACCTTTGCTTGAAACATGTTTGTGTTTTGTTTTCTTTTTTAGCCTTCTTGTGAGCTTGCATTTCCTATAACTAGTTGGTATAAAACTATTTTTGCAACTTGGAAGCTCTTGGATAGTTTCAGTATGGATGTGAGCGCTGCTTCTGTTTGGTTGTCTTCTATCAAGTCAACATTGGCTGTCAATGACAAAGTTCCTGAACACATTGCTCTTGTGATTGCATATGTAATTTTAAAAGAGGATGGGGAGTCTCTTCGCTTTGCTCTGGATACTGCCAAAGACTTGGCTAAAGCCGACACTTTCCAGGTAACAATTCTGCTACTACTAAATCAAGCCTAAGAATGTTTGCAGAGAACAGGTTTACAGGACAGTGATTCCACTGTTGCAAAAGGTTAGTCAAAGTACGTACTGGTTGAAATACTTCACACTCCAACTGTTGCTGTTATATACTGTTATATACCATGCTGAATGAGATAAGGAGTGATTCACCTTTGCAGCGTGTAAGATATGAAACATTTATTCTTCAGTTACCACCACTGGTTATTCAAGCTGACTCTGGAGACGAAATTTCTGTCTTCACTTTTAGACAAACAATATGATTAGCTAGACCTGTTTGCATAAAGTTTGTTTTGGTGAAGCGGCTTCTAATTTATTGAAGGGGGAGTTGTATTTAATGAATAACTTCTTTTCTGCTGTTAAAGTAATCCAGTTCCTACCTTTCCTTTTCATTTGTAGGCACCACATCTCATTTCTGTTCTGATGTTTAAGTTGGGAAGACCACTGGAACCGACCCTGTATCATGCTATTCTTTATACACTTCCTGCACTGGGCACACACAAGGTATGTTTTAAGAAACACCAGCAATCTTGTTAATGATAATATCGATTACTGACAGCATTAGTGAGTGAAAACCTAAGTTCACGCAAAGTTCACAGATGGAGTGAAATGTAATGGTCGAAAACTGCACCCCTTTTCACAACTGTTTAAACATTTGTGATGTCCTGAGCATAGCTGTCTTCTAACTCAGTTCTTACCTTCTGATATCAGGTTTGTGTTGCTCAGATAATTCGTGCTTTACACATGCTGTGGAAAACAACACATCTTAAAGCCGTATCTCTGCGTCTTATGACAATTCTATGGGAAAATCAGGTGAGGAAACTTTGCATTTGGATGCAACATTGTTTGTCAGTTTGGTCGCTTTGAGTGTTGGTCACAGTGGTTCTGTTAGCGCAGGGTTTCAGTAACAGTGTGCAAGAGATGTCAAAGCAAAGGCTGACCATTTAGAAAATAGAAATCCATGGCTACTTGTTGTAATTAGTCAATGAGCAGAATTGATTACATAATGCAAGTGATCAAATAGCTGCCTGTTTTATGCTGTTTGACTCGAGCATTCAGTTGTATGAGTTGTTCTGAATGGGTGCATATAAAATCCAGTGTTCCAATCAATAAAACCTTCTGTAAATTAAGTTTTCTTGCATTAAAGTGTGGATTTTCCACTTTTTAATGACCCCAAACTAGTTCTTAGAGCACTGTATTGTGTGGTCCACTGAATTGGTGCTTTTTTGTCTTTCTCCGAGAATATGATAGCTAAATGACTGTACAGCTACTCATGTGCACTGTTCTCCTGAGTCACAAGATACAAAAACCATGATGTTTGATCACCATTGGGAAATTCTACTGTGGCTGGTATCTAATGAACTTAATTTTTATGTTATTTTCCAACTCGTATCAAAATTATAGTTCTGTACTTGATATTTGTGGGGAAAATTGTTTCCTCTGGTGTTATTTTTATACAGAATGCACTAAATTATTTTTAAAGGTTTGATTGTATTTTTGATTTCTAGGTGATGTTTTGTTGCTAATTATTTGCTTTGTGCAATTTCATTTTGTTCATTTCTTAGGATCGTGTTTATCCAGAGCTGCAGAAGTTCATGGCATTAGTTGATATGCCGTCAGTATCGCTTGTTAAGGAGGATCAGTGGGAGCAGATGATAGCCAAAGCAGCAACGATCAGGGACATATGCAGGAAGAGGTGAGAGTCTTTTTTTGAAGAATGGAGTACTGTACATTGCTGTAAAAAGACCTGTTGTCACTTCTGAGGATAAGTGGAAGAATGCCCAGATTTTAATGATTGCAATTGCACAAGGTTAGATTACAGGTATAGTATGTAATGGGAAAAATAAACAGAATGTTGTTGTGACGGGAATTGGTTACAATAGTAACGGAGGTTATTATTCAGTTTTATAAGGCATTGGTGAGACTGCATCCAGTCTCCCATTTAAAATAGGATGTTAACACATTGGAAGCAGCTCAGAAAAGAACTACTGGGCTTGTATTTCGAATGGTGGGTTGTTTGATGAGAAAACTTGTATCTAATGGACATTCATGGAGTAAGAGGTGACTTTGAAGGATACAAGACTCTGAAGGGGTTTGACAGGGTGTATGTGGAAAGGATGTTTCCTTTTGTGTATACAGGTAGTTCCGCTGTAATGTGATTGATGAGTAGTGGACCCTGTTTGGATAACACAGACTTCCTGCTGTGCAGCTATAGCAATTTCTCTATAACGCGATTTTCTATAGCGATTATCTATAGCACGAGGTCACACAACGCAACTGTTGCATTATAAGACAGCCACCTGCAGTTCTAGAATTCTGCTAAAAAATGTGGGTTGCCCATTTATGACTGAGATGACGATTTTTTTTGACTGTTTTGAGTCTTTATAACTCTCTGCCTCAAAAGGAGGTAGAAACACAGGCTTTGAATATTTTTATAGCAAAGGCAGGTAGATTCTTGATAAGTGATGGGGTGAAAGGTTTTGGGGTCAGCAGAAATGTGGAGTAATCAAATCTGCTTTGATCTCTTTAGTGGAACAGGCTAGAGTGACTGAATAGCTCTCCTCATGGTCCTGCTCCTAACCTGTACGTTTGTACAAAAAATTATACTTTGTCAGGAGAAAAGAATCCTGATTGGTTGGCAAGTCAAAGCTGATTGGCCAATTTGTTTCCATGTTGGAAGCAAGGAGAGCTACCGACTTCCCATGCTTCCAAGTAATTCCAAAACATTGCAATGCTTGGATTTTTGATCTTGTTTGCAGAGTTGAAAACCCTGCTTAAAAATATCTGTTGCTTCTTGCAAGTGGGAGTGGTTACTGAGGAGGGAGGGAATATACTGGCAGATGTTACACCTGATTTCCAGCATCTGCCATTCTTTTGGTTTTTTTATCCTTGAAGCAAATAGGCCTAGTGTCGGTCGATCTTTTCCAACTTTGGTTCACGGATGCAAACACGTGAAAGGTGAGCAGAAGACACTATGACCTGTGGCTTGTTCCACCATGCCATATGGTTCTGGCTGATCTGCTACTCCAATTTCACTTTCCCACCTACTGCCAATAAGCACTGAGAAACCAATAATTTATCAATTTCAGCCTTAAATGTTCTGAACAATTGCAGCATCCACTGTCCTATAGGTTGTATATTTCCAAAGAATCTCAGTCCTCTGAGTGAAACAAAGACCTCATTTCAGGCCCTGTACGACTGACCCCAACCAGGGAACATAAGCCCATAAGAAATAGGAACAGAAGTAGGCCCATTGATCCTGCTTCGCCATTCAATAAGATCATGGCTGATCTTTTTGAGACTCAGTTCCACTTTCCCACCCACTCACCATAACCCTTAATTCCTTTACTGTTCAAAAATCTATGTATGTTTGCCTTAAAAACTTTAACAAGGCAGCCTCAACTGCTTCACTGGGCAGGGAATTCCACAGGTTCACACCCCTTAGGCGAAGAAATTCCTCCTCAACTTGGTCCTAAATCTTCTTCCCCTTATTTTGAGGTTAGGCCCCTAGTTCTAGTTTCACCTGCCAGTGGAAACAACCTCCCTGCCTCTATCCGATTTATTCCCTTCATAATCTTATATATTTCTATAAGGTTCCCCCTCGTTCTTCTTATTTCCTGTGTATACAGTCCCAGTTTACTCAATCTCTCCTCATAAGGCAACCTTCTCAATAAAGACCTCAGGCCAACCGTCTCAAGTCCCTTCCAGAGTTTTCTTTGCTTAATGAGAATCGCCTCTCATTCTTCTGAGCTCGTGGAGAGTCAAGACCCAATGTACTCAGTCTCTCATCAGAGGACAACCCACACATCCCAGGAACCAATCGGTGAACAAAGAAAATTACAGCACAGGAACAGGCCATTCGGCCCTCCAAGCCTGCACCGACACGCTGCCTGTCAAGACTAAAATCCGCTACCCTTCCGGGGACCGTATCCCTCCATCCCTGTCCAATTCATGTACTTGTCAAGACGCCCTTTAAAAGTCACTATAGTATCTGCTTCTACTACCTCCCTTGGCAGTGAGTTCCAAGCACCCACCACCCTCTGTGTAAAAAAAAAAACAAAACTTGCCTCGTACATGACCTTTAAACCTCGCCCCTCTCACCTTTAAACCTATGCCCCCTAGTAACTGCCTCTTCCACCCCGGGAAAAAGCTTCTGACTGTCCACTCTGCCCATGCCCTTCATAATCTTGTAGACCTCTATCAGGTGACGCGGCTTTCTCCTCTGTTTATTGAGTTTATCTATTGAGCTCAATTTGAAGGAGTTAATATACTCTACATCAGTTGAGTGTTTCTTTTGCTGAGTTTGTCTGTATATCCATACCTCTATAAGGATAAAATTTCTTTGAATCTCTTTCATATCACTGAGACTCATGAATTTTAAAACTCGCCTTTGCTAGTTTTTGGATTACAGTACAGTAATGAAATCTATATGTCTGGATCATGTCAGCTCTCGGAAGTTTCTTGAATTTATGTTTTCATTTTGCATTTGTCAAGCACTACATGGTTAGGGCATTTCTTTGTACTTTTGCAAGAAACCATATACTGTGCACTCATTTAACAAAACCTTAGTGTTACAGATATGGAGCAGTACTCGCTATCTCTTACTGTCACTTTGTGTGAATTCCTGTTCTGAAACTTGAACTTTTTTTGCTCCATTCCAAGAGCCTTTACTCCTCATTATGGAACTTTTGTGGTCAAAGTCTGGGATACATTTTCCAGTCTCTCCACAACAGTAGGTTACGTTGGAGAAGTACCTAACGTAGGCAGAATATTATTTGTAATCTAAATTAAACAGACTATTTGTCTTTTGAAGGTTTCAAGGGAGTCTCGGCCTGATTGCCAGTACCGTTTCTCAATTGGACATTCTTTGCAGGATGACAATTGAAAAGCAGGTCTCTGAATGAGAGAGAGAGAGAGAGAGAGACAATAACTATAGTGGCCTGGTGTGGAGTGTGGGTGGCAGCTAGGGGTTAGACCATGTGGAGGCCCCCTGCGTTGGTCTGGGTGGAGAGCCCTTGGAGAGAGACTGGAATGTTTGTCTTTTTAACTTTGCTTCGTGTTTTTCTGACCTATGGTTATACTGGGTACAGCTGTAATGTAACTTTGTTTTCATTTCTCTATCCTGTAAATAAAGATTATACCGAGGTATCTTTTGAACCTAAGATGGCACTGTAAATGGCGACTAATAAACTTTTTCACTGTACTTATTTGAGCACATGTGACAATAAAGCTCCTTCATTCATTCATTCATTCAACTTAAAAGTTAAGCTGCTTTCAATCGAATGTAAAATTTAATAATTTCATTAATTCTGGTTTACATTCCCTTTTCATTTTTCATTTGTGCTTTCGTAGATCTTACCAGCACGGATCTGATATGTTGGCAGCAATCTCCAAGATGCTGAATGAATGTGCAAGATCTGACCAGGCCACGCCTGCAGTTCTTGTACTTCAGGGGCTACATGCATTATGTCAAGCTGAGGTAAGTTTGGCTAAATTGGTTCATGATGGAGGTTACAGAGTGCAGCTTGAAATTTGCTTGATGTTCTGTCCTGTTTTGCACTAATTGGAGGTAAAGAGCATATGACATTTGTCTTGAAGATTTTCAATCTTCTTTTGAAGTAATGCCTTTCAGAAGTTGATAACCACAGGTGAGGTGCTGGGAAACTGGAGGTTGGCAAACGTGGTGCCACTATTTAAGAAATATCGTAAGGAAAAGCCAGGGAACTATAGACTGGTGAGCCTGACATCAGTGGTGGGCAAGTTGTTGGAGGGGATCCTCAGGGATAGGATTTACATTCATTTAGAAAGGCGAGGACTGATTAGGGATAGTCAACATGGCTTTGTGCATGGGAAATCGTTCTCACTAACTTGCTTGGGTTCTTTTTGAAGAAGTAATGAAGAGGAGATGGCGGCAGAGCAGTTGATGTGATCTAAATGGACTTCAGTAACGTGTTCGACAAGGTTCCTCATGATAAACCGGTTAGCAAGGTTGGATCAGATGGAGTACTGGGAGAACTAGCCATTTGGATACGTGACTGATTCAAAGGTGGGAGAGAGAGGGTGGTGGTGCAGGGTTGCAGACTGGAGGCCTGTGGCCAGCGGTGTACCACAAGGATCGGTGCTGGGTGCCTGCTTTTCATCACTTATATAAATGATTTGGATGTGAATATAAGAGGTATGGTTAGTAAGTTTGCAGATGACACCAAAATTGGAGGTGTACTGGACAGTGAAGAAGGTTACCTCAGAGTACAAAAGGATCTTGATTAGACGGGCCAATGGGCCGAGGAATGGCAGATGGAGTTTAATTTAGGTAAATGTGAGGTGCTGCATTTTGGAAAGGCAAATCAGGGCAAGACTTATACACTTAATGGTAAGGTTCTGGGGAGTGTTGCTGAACAAAGAGACCTTGGAATGCAGGCTCATAGTTCCTTGAAAGTGGAGTCGCGGGTAGATAGGATGGTGAAGAAAGCATTTGGAATGCTTGCCTTTATTGGTCAGCGCATTGAGTTAGGAATTGGGAGGTCGTGTTTCGCCTGTACAGGACATGGTTTGCTATTTTTGAAATACTCCGTTCAATTCTGGCCTCCCTGCTGCAGTCTCCCTGTGAGGCAATTTAGCCTGGCCAATCCACCCTAACCTGCACATCTTTGGACTGTGGGAGGAAACCAGAGCACCTGGAGGAAACCCTCTCAGACACAGGGAGAATATGTAAACTCCACACAGATAGTCATTCGAGGGTGGAATCGAACCCAGGTCCCTGGCGCCGTGAGGCAGCAGTGTTAACCACTGAGCCAACGTGCCACCCTGTGTTGTTTTTGGCATCAACAGTTTTTTATTGAGTCTTACAAGGTTCTCTTAGTTAAAGGGCATTGGTTGGTTTTAGAGAATATCCTGATGCAACATTTGGGACAATAGCCAATCATTACATTAGATATTCAAAGCAGATACATAAATTGTTAACTGGTGCTGCCTTATCTTGGGAAAGATCAATGGTGCTGGTCAGATAAGGAGGACAAACGTAAAATGTAATTTCGCAGAATTGGGAGAAAGTATCACCAGGATGACCTTTACCTTGAAAGAAACAAAACCAGAAATTTGGTAGAAATTATCAGGTCAATCCAACATGGACTGTTTATGGCCAATGAGCTGTACATCCATGAATGTGCAGGCATGTGTAGCCTAGGTGGATTAGCCTCGGGGAATGCAGGGATGGGGAAGGGGTGTGGGTCTGCGTGGGGTGCTCTTTGGTGTGGACTTGATGGGCCGAACGGCATGCGTGCACACTGTAGGGATTCTGTGATTCTATAAACAAATAAAAGCTCTAAATAATGATACAAAACTGATGCACAAAGGCCTGGTCCGTACAGGAAACTGCTTTGTCAAGCTTAATGAGTGTTATTGGAGTTGCGCTCACCCAGGCAAGTGGGGAGTATGCTATCACATTCCTGACCTGTGCCCTGTAGATGGTGACAACAAGGTGCAGGGCTGGATGAACACAGCAGGCCAAGCAGCATCATAGGAGCAGAGAGGCTGACGTTTCGGGCCTAGACCCTTCATCAGAAAAGCTTTTCTGATGAAGGG